ATTTTTCAACCAATATCTACCTAATCTTGGGATGGGATGGTGTGCAACTTATGCAATTTTCAATTTCATAAAAAGCTTGAGTGACCTCAAAAGATAAAATAGCAAAAAATAAGCAAAATAAATAAATAAAAAGTGTACAAAAGGGCAAGTGTTCCAATGTCTTTGACATGAACATGCTTTTAATAAGAACACGTCTCAGATTGCGTCTCTTATCGAGTGCTCGATACCGTGCCTGAGAAACATGAATGCCAAGTAAGGGATAGACCGCATGATCGGGATTGCCCACACTTATTAAAATAAAATAAATGCTAAAGCAAAAAAGAGCTAAAAAAGAGTAGAAACTCAAGCAAAAAAAAAATACAAAGATTCAAAAACAAGGTTGCACACCTTGGGGGCTTATCGAGGGTCTTGAGCCTTTATCCCCTTCTTCTATATATAACCTTTAGCCTAACCACGTTACAACCCTTAAAAAGCCCTTTTGGAGGTATACACATACTTGTGCGAGGTTTGGCTAGAGCTACGTTCGGCTTGATTCCTAACGGATACGTAGGCAACCTCACATCGAGGTGCGGCCGTAATAAAAATGCATTCACATTCACACACTCACACCATGATCATATCGAGGGATATCCTGTGCTCATCCCTATTCATTTAGAGCTAGACTTGGGGGCTTGATCCTTACATCATTAGCCTACCTAGCCTAAGAGTCACCATTATTTGACTCTTCTTGAAATAAAATTTTCCCACACACTTAGCCTTTGCGGCCTAACTTTACTATCACTTTCACACACCGCACAAATACATGACTAAATATAATTCCCTTAGGAACCCTTTGTCATGAAATCTCAACATAATGCTGAAGCATGCCTTGTCATGTCGAAATCACTCATCAATCATAATCATCATTGCATTACAAAGTACGAAGTGCTTAGCCTCCGAGCCTAAGTTACCTAAATACTGTCATCATGGAATCAACCATTGAGATAGCCCAGGATGGATTAATCCTTGCACCTTGAGAGATAGTATCAAACAACATTTGACTAAGCTCATTCAACATGCACCTTTAAATACTTTGATTCTTTTTCGCGTCTTTCTTTTTCGGGAGAAAGTCGGTACCCTCCACACAAATGACGGAAAATTTTTGCTTTTTTGCATTTTTGAGTCCCACGATCACATTACGATGCACACACGAGTCATGTACACATTGAGTCATGTCGTGTTATCACATTGAGTCAACACTATGCACACACGAGTCACATGAAGCGAGTCATGGTGAGTCAAGTTTATACCTTGAGTCATGTCAAGTCAATGAGTCAAGCAACACTAAGTCTTAGGTCAACCCTATTGAAAGATAAGCAAAGTCCTATAGTCAAAGATATAAATGCAGGTGCATCCCAGCAAACGAGGACATTCCCGGATTTTTTTTTCAAAAAAACCGCGAATATGATACAGGAGATCCCTCCAAGATAAGAGGAGTTACATGGATCAGTAAATTAGAGATGAAGAGCTTTAATTTGCAATAGACTTGAGCGGATTTGGTTGAAAAGAAACAACCAAGTTCAAAGTTCGAAGCGAAACCGAGCAACAGCGGCAGCAAGAGCAGAATAGGGAAGATCCGACTCCAGCGCCAGACAACAACATCCAATGTTAGCAACAGATTTCAGCGCCTGGCACTAGATCTCATCATCTGGCGACAGAGCCAATTCTTGGCGCCAGCGATATTTCAGCAGCACTAGAGCTCGAAGCCTCTCAGAACGGTTATTTCGACTTCATACAACAATTTTGGGTTCCTTGGTACGCCAATTAGCCCCTATAAGCAAATTGACATGATTAGTAGTCGGCTCGATTACAATCGTAGTAAGTGATTGACCTGACAAAAAATCGTCTCACTTAGCTTAAGCGCTTAAAACACTGGCCCATTACAAGCACCAACGTATCGGTTTAAATGCAAGCACTTAAACGACAATATTTCAAAATATGGATTGTCGCGCATTCTTCTTAAATGACAATGTTTCCAAATACGGATTTTCGCACATTCTTCTTAAACGACAATATTTCCAAATATGGATTGTCGCGCATTCTTCTTGAACGACAATTTTTCCAAAATTGGATTGTCATCCCCAACTGACAAAATTTCCAAATATGGATTGTCGTGCATCTTCTTCAATGACAATTTTTCCAAGATTGGATTGTCATCTCTGGCAAAGTTTCCAAGCGTGGATTGTCGTGCTCCTTCTCTGTTTGGCAATTTATTCCAAGTTCGGATTGTCATCGCTGGCAAGTTTTCCAAGATTGGATTGTCATACACCCAGTTCCCTATGGAAAAATTTCCCAAAGGATTGTTGTAGGTTTCTATTCATCATAAATATCGACAAAGGTTCCTCAACGTGGATTGTCATTCATTTCAGTAAGTGGCAAATTTTCCCGAAGTGGATTGTCAGTCGACTCTTTTTTGCAAATGTTCCAAGACGCGGATTGTCAATTGTGGCAATATTTTCCTAAAAGGATTGTCGCATAGCGTTGGAAAATTTCTAAGGTGGATTGCTTTCAAGAGTTATATTCCAAGATGTGGATTTTCGATCGTAGCAAAATTCTTATGACAGATTGTTACGAAGCATTGACAACTTTCCCTAAATCGGATTGTCATACATCATACGAGAGTTGTGTTGGAAACTATTCTCAAATAAAAGAGGATTGTCATCACAACAAAAGCACCGACATACTGGTTCACAAGCAGCAGAAGCGCCGACGTACTGGCATAGCAGCATTAAGGATCAACAAGCAGTGATCTTTTCGAAGACTATCACAGCGGAAATTGGAGGCAGTTACAGGCGTAGCAGTCTTCAGGCGGTATTCTCTAGCTTGCGGAAGATCGTCACGACAAATCGGTTACCCTTTAGAAACGTGTGCTCGACGGTGCAAGATACGCATTTCTTAACTCTTTTATCTGTTTAACTAATACTAGTTTGCAGGTATCGACGTTACAAGAGTGATTTAGGATCGCAGAACGTTCTAAATCATTCTCCGTCCCTATCGATACTTTGACTTTTGTTTTTGAAACTTGCGTTTCTCCAAACTCAGTCAAAGTGGGGGCTTCTGTAGACACCCGTTTGTGTCTCCCCAAAACAAAACCCGATGATGAGTACCTTTCACGTCGAATCATAACCGAATGAAGTGAAAGTGTGGAAAGTTTAGTGTTGCGGATAGTTTAAATTTCTTTTCTCTTCTCTTTGTTTTTGAAAACCTATTTTAAGAAAACAGCCAATCCAGTTCGGTTGGTCCATGATATGGGTCCAATAATAGTGTAGTTGGATAGGGCTTGAAAAGATCTTTCCGACGATATATTATAAGTCCAATTCCGATGAATATTGAGGAAGTTATGGCCAAATTACTGAACTGGGCCTGGTTTAAGCCTTATATGCGGCCCAATGATCTAGAGGAGGGCCTAATATAGATTTATCATTCCTAATGCAATTAGGAATGGTTTAGTCTTCTAGATTCTTCTAGAAGGTTCTTTTCATTCCTAATTCAATTAGCATTGATAAATTGACTTTTTTTTTACTTTTTAGAGTTCTAATCAGAACGAAAGAATGTTTTTGAGGAAAATACGATTTTATCCTCCTGTACGGCAATTTCTATCTGATTTTAGAAAACGCGTCAATATTTTAGTCAGCGCCAAACGCCAGCATTAGCGCATGACGCTAAGCTTGACGCCTAGCGCTAGCGTTAGCGCCTGGCGCTAATGTCAGCGTTTGGCGCTAACCTCGTTTTACGCGTCAGAACTCTGTTTTGATTTTTTATTTTTCGGCTGATTTAATCTATAAATAGCCTTCTAAAAACTTTGTTTTCCATGGAACAATTCTCTTCATTCACCAACTCTCATCAAGATTTTCTTGATTACTCTTTCTCTCTCTTCTAAACTAGCCTTTTCACAAATACAAAATTCCACATTCGCAAGACTTAGATACACCTAGCCATATTCGAAGTTGCCTTCGCCCTAGACGTGAAAGGTTTTAATTTCTGAGGGTTTGGTCCCAAATCTCTATTTCAATTATTTAATTTAATTGTTTTAATTATTATTTTCCTTGAAGTTACTAACGTGTGTATTTTATTATTAGAAAGAGGTACGAGGAATCCAAGTAAGTACTTTAATGGTTTAATTGATGTTATTATATAGAAGTCATGCTTAGGTTGTTATTATAATTCCTAGTATCATGTCTAGGGTAAATTTAATATCAAGTATGATTAAAAGTGTGATGCCTTTTATATTCTTCCTAATATTTATGATTGTTAATATCATGTTAGGGTTAAAGATTTGATTTTTATTGCTTAGTGACATGCTAGGGTTTGTTATTAATCTTGTTAGTATCATGCCTAGGATCTTGCTATTATGTTTTAACATGATTATTTTTTTATAATTGTTCTGATTATGATTGTTATAATTATTATTATAATGATTATTTATTATGTTGCTTGATATATATTTTATTTTTATTGCTTAATCACGCCTTTTATGCATGTTTAAAGGGAATTTGTACTTGTAATCACGCTTAATAAGATAATTAATAATCTTGTTTAGGGTTAATTTGATTATAATTCAAGTGATCGCCAATAATATATTTATTTGTGCATTAATATTCAACCAACATAGATTAAACAGGTTTAGGGTTAAACCTATTGATTGTATGTTAGTCAGAAAGCGCACATGAATACGATCAGAATAAAGTAAAGGCATATTATTAGGGCAGGTTTAATCTCTTTTAGGTTGGATTTGTACCTTCATCCCCGAACTACCAGTCATGGTTCAAGACCTATTGGAGTTGACGATCTCTTGGATCGTTAAGTGGTGTAACCTTCACCTCGTGAACGGTTTACAAGTTCCTAAAACTTGCTTAGGGACGCCATTCCGGGTTATGAAATTACCAAATGGGGATTTAAAACCTGTGTACATGCCCCTATTATCTGATTTGGAAGGTTACATGCATCTGGGTGGGGCAATGTTTGTGAAATGGTACTGTTGGCGCCACTGTGCATCTCTACCAGAATACATACCCCGTGGGATAGTCCCAATTTTCGACTTGAAACTGATGGTAAACCCAGATGAGCTACCATTGTTTGTTGTCCCAACAACAGAGCATGAGGTCTTTTTTGGAGCAACAAAATTAGGGATTCATGTGATAGAAGTCCAACACCTCCTGTCAATCATATCGTTGGAAGTCCACGCAGACGTCACAACGTCAACCAGATCTAGATATTTTCGCGTTACAGTGAGCTCAAATATAGCAAATGAATTACAGGGGCAAGGTAGCCATGAAAAAGGGTCCACAATTATAATTTGGAATGCAAGGAACATCCACCGCCCATCGTTTGCAGAAAATTTCCGCAAATTACATGAAAGATTTTCGCTAATGCTAGTTGTAATGATAGAGGCTAGGTCTAAGTGGCCCTTTCTTGAAACAGTAAAGAAGGATGTGGGGCTAAATTACATGTTTGAATCGATTAGCCCACCATCAGGTGTAGGAGGAGTGGCACTTGCGTGGGATGATCGTGTGGAGCCATATTTCTTGCACAGGCAAGCTTTATTGTACGGCCACGTACTCAGCGTTAATACAATCGTAAGCCTCTTAGTTGTGTAATCGATTACGTAGCAACTGTATGTGTTTGGAAAAAAAAACCGTCTTGGTTAGCTAATGCAAATACATCTTAATTAGTGTTATGTGATATGTTTTCAGCCAAGCTTTAAAGTAAGTCGTGGAGCACCGTTAGTGATTCCAGAAGGAAAGCACTACCTAGCGGAATCGGATTGTAGTGACGATGAACTATACGATGTCATGGCGGCGTGGTACACAAATTCGGGGTTGGACGAGGACCCATCTATCCACGACTGGTTATTTTAAATAATTCGTTGCTAAGTAGCTTTTCTAAGTTTTAGATTAGTTGGTAATTTGTTGGTAATTTGCACTCCCTAATATCACCCACTAGATTTGTTGGTAACTCCAAAGTAGTCAAGCAACTTAAGTTATGTGTGTTAAGCTACTAATATGTTATACAAATTATAGTAGGTAGTTGCTATGAAAGCTTTCTTTTGCGCCAAATCAAGGCAAACTCTTCTTCAATCTAACCCCTTTTAATTTTCTACATACATTTGTTTTCTTGGTGTGTGTGAGTGTGTTGATGAAATTGCTTTTGATAAAAATAGTCCAAAGGTGCCATGTACCATTAGATAATTTGTCATTTTAGTTGCATAAAATTGTAGTAAAAGACAATGATGTTTATAAAATAAATCTTTCCATAATGATAAAAAATCTTACCACTGATATCCAGTTGACATGAAAACATAAAGAATTGCCACATTTCTCTATTTTGACCATAAGTTTTTGTCTATATTCGCCTATTCCCATTCTTTGGCTTTATGTCTATAAAGTATATTGGAAACTAAACACATGCTATACACCTTAATTAGTGGACAAAGCTTTGGCGCAATAATTTCCTGCCCAACATTACGAATGGCGCTATGTTGCAAAAATTGGCGCCAATAGTGAATCACTGTATAAGTGTTGTTGTAGGGCGGCCTATTGTAAGTTGCCTTGAGCTAAGTCAACGAACCTCATTACACAAAAAACAGTGTAACATTATCATCGAAAATGAAACAACGCATCATAGCAATACCACTAAGTGTTTTTGTTCCACAAAAGCCAGGTAGATTAGGAGTCACAAACAAGGGGGGTAAACGTAGAGTTGTGAATAAAAGGCCGGTAAAGGTCCCTAAGTTCCTAGTGGAGACTCATCAACTGTGTGTGACCAACAAACCAGCACATTCAGTGGGTGGAAATGCTAGGCTAGGGGCTGGTATTATTGGTTTTATGGGCTCAGCCAAGCTATCTCCAAACGGCATGGTTTCTGTCGAGATTATGACTGCAAGGTCACTCGCTGCACGAGTTGCAAGTGGGAAGAATGAACCAGGAGATGTTATGGTGCTACAGAACAGTAAGGTGTACCCTGCCCATGTTCCAGTCCTATCAGATTTGGCATTGCTACCAGCCGCGTTAAAACTGTCTATAAGATGGGCACTGTTGAAGGACGGAGGAGAAAACGGAGAGGGTAAACAACATCTAGTCCCTGCATCCATAAAAAACATACTGTACCAGGTTGCAGCGTTACCCACGGTGATAGAATCCTTTAAGGTAACTGAAGGCATCCACGAAATGGTTATAAACAGCTACAGTGATGACGTGAAGCTGCTGCAAACTGGAGATAATGTGAGAGTCAACCATATATCTGTTGCCTTAAGCTGGTTAGGACATCATCTTTTGGACGGTCGGAAGGCATCAATTACATTATGGGAAATGCCGGGTCCAAAACATGGTAAGACGAAAATCTTAATATGGAACTGCAGATATATGGGTACATAATTATTCCTAGAAGAATTAAGGTTGTTGGTTGATGTACACATGCTAGATATCGTGATATTGACAGAAACGAGAGTTTCGATTCACATGGCAAGGTTCATATGTAAGAGCCTACATTGGATGTCTATCCACGGTTCAACAAAGTGTGGTGTGATTGGGGGCGTTCTGCTCATGGTCCTGTCCAACATGGTCAAAGTAGGAGTCGAAGGTCAAGACGGGCAATCAATAAAGTTGAGTATTAAAGAATCGCATGTACACGTATGATTGCTTTGAAATTTAGCATCATAGTGTTTGTATTGATTTGTATGTGCAAGTGTTAGTAAATGTGATCTACAAAAATTGGTGTTGCGTGCGTTGCAACTAATTAATTTTAGATGAAATGTATTTCCTCTTAAGTATGAGCCTTAACCGTACTAAGATTCTCATTTGAATATGTTTGTCTTATTCTAATATATATGTAAAAAAAATTAATATCTTTATAAGAATATTTTTTTAAAGTTTTTTTAACTTGTAAGTGTCCTTTTAACTAAAGCGTATTTGATTCAGTCCAGTCCCAACAAGATTCCTCCAGTTACATTGGTTGGAAGAAACGACGTATTAGCTGTGGGCCCCTATTCTACTGTATATAAGATGAAAACACCTCCACAGTAAGGAGCACATCTCAAACAGATCAAAAACCCTCTATTACAATTGCAGGTACACGATTCTATGACCAATATCAACTTCACAGTGTTAGTAGACCAATTCATGAAGGACGAACCCCCAAGTCGTTACCATGAAATCAAACTAACTCCTGAAGAAGAGGATGACAAGGCAGACTTAAGCATCGGATCAAGCATTGTGTTATGGAATGCACGTCGCCTCACGAGACCATCATTTGTGCCTCATTTTCGCGAAATTGTGGCCACCCACAACCCAATCCTGATGATTGTTACTGAAATCGGGGCACAAGCCATAAACTGCGAGAGGCAGCTCAAAAGGCTCGGAACAACCATGGCTTGGAAGGTGGACGAGGGCAACGGTTTAACTGGAGGGACGGTTGTATTCTGGGATCCAGCTAGGGTTCAAGCTGAGATTCTCTTGGCAGAAAGCAGTGCAATTGATCTCCGCATTGTTGGCACTGTGCGTGCCCTTGAAGACTAAGGTTCTAGTTTACCTCTTGTCAGGTAATTCTTAAAACATAGGACGCTATCTAACAGTTAACTTGACAAATGAAACAAACTGACAAACGTTTGTTTTATTTCACAGGACTGGAGGGTGGAGGATTGGATTTGGAAGCTTATGTATCAGAAGGATGCTTATTATAAATGTCTTTATTTTTAGCTTATTTTAGTGGGTTTAAATTATGTAATGTTACCAATGTGATAGTTATGTTAAGAAAATTATATATTCAAATTTCAGTACTAGTAGTTCTAAAAGTTTGGGATGTACTATGCCTTATTTAATTCGGGATATTAAGTGTGTTAATGTAAGGTATTTTAATGTTTCGTTTTGGATAGTTCGTATCTTAACGTATTTTAATGTATTGAAATTTGGATCATTGAATAGTGTTGTAAATAAATCACACACTGGGCCCAAAACAATACAACAACCAAGTATTGTAAATGGACCCTAAAGACAAGCCAATTGGGCAATTGGACAGTAGTGTTGTAAATGGATCATACCATGGGCCTAGAACAATACAACAAATTAGTATTATAAATGGACCCAACACAAGTATGATCTCAATTCTGAATACAAGCCTATGTCTGATGGGCCATAATGTAATTGGGCTTAAATATCAAATGAGCCACAAACTTAAAATTCACGAAACATCATCACGAACTTTATAACACAATGATGAGATTTGTTGTTTGAACTCAAATAACTGAAATTCATTTGTAAGACAAACTGGTGACAATTGAAGCAGGAAATCCATTACCTAGTCACACAGACTTGATTATCAATTGGACTTGAACCATGACTCTCCGTCCCCTTTGGTAGCTCTCCTTTGTCTTGGCTTAGGTGATGGAATGACTATAGACATTTCATCAATCTGCTGCAGAGGACCGAATGAAGTTAGATCAATGATGAGGCTGACTGAATTTAGATAAGTTAGAACAGTGATGAGGCTGAGTTAGGCTGGAGGTTTAATAATAAGATCGTAGTATGAAGAATCTTGATCTACATGGGTATTACTATATGAGTTAGTAGGTCCATTGCTATCCATCGCGTCCAACGGGTGTCTTTCACCATACGCGACATCCAACATTTGTAGGATGAATGAGAAACGAGGTTATAAGAAAAAACATATCTATGAACACGATCCTGCCTAGCAACTAAATGAGACTCACTCCAGCAGCTCTAAAATCACCGAAACAGCCATGTCTATGAACACGATCCTGCCTAGCAGCTTTAGACATGGCGTTATTTCCCCATAAACTAACGCGCGGGAATGCCCCCCAGCGGATGGGATCAGCATTGAAACGGTCCAAATATAACACCTGCAACAGCAATATACTATCCAGTCATTCATCCTACACAAGATGCAGTAAGTATGTTAACCATAATCCAATGTACACACCACAATGAATAACAAACAACCACAGCTTCCAGCAGCGTGTCCTCTAGAATAAAACTTCCTAGCAAACGAAGTGACACTAGAAACAAATTTTGATATAACAAGCCCACACCAGTCATATTCAGCACGATCTTTTGCACAAGTCAGAGCTGGCAACATATCAGGTGAAAATTGTGGAGATTGCGTAGGACAGAGAACCATGTACAACGAAAGAAGGAGAAACAATGTCTTAAATTCAACTTCATCCTTATCTTCCCAATCACCTTCCACTCTATCCATTATTGCAGAGTTAACTAGAATTCCTGTCACATTATAAACACGGCCTTTGGTGCATTTAGTCTCATATGACTGGCCATACTTCCTTAACAATTCCTTAACATCACCCTTCACATGATCATTCATCCTGCTCTTCGAAGGAACAGCCTTGCCACCATTTGGAATGCCAAAAATCCAATACACTTGGTTCTGTGACAATTTGAACTCTGTGCCATCAGGGGATATTAAACTTTTCTTAATAGGATCAACTCGACTAAACAACCAATACGCCAACTGCCTTGGGAGATGCATGCCTGAAGCTAGATATAATAATCCCCCGAACCCCATTTCACCTACCCACTTCTTTCGTTTGTCATCAAACTTTTGACAGATTCTACCAAAAGACTCGATACGTGTAGGGAATATTTCAAGCATTAATCACTAGCTTGAACCCCACTATGATCATACACTAAAGTACAGTGGCGTCTAAATTAAAGGGAAAGAAGATAGAGCAAAAGAGTCGCCAACAAGTTTTTTAGGAACTTGTAAACCGTTAACGAGGTGAAGGTTACACCCCTTAACGATCCAAGAGATCGTCAACTCCAATAGGTCTGGAACCATGACTGGTATTTCGGGGATGAAGGTACAAATCCAACCTAAAAGAGATTGAACCTGCCCTAATAATAGGCCTCTACTTTATTCTGATCGTATTCATGTGCACTTTCTGACTAACATACAATCAATAGGATTAACCCTAAACCTGTTTATCTATGTTGGTTGAATATTGTGCACAAATAAACTATTATTGGCGATCACTTGAAT